CATTGTATTTTCTTGCTTTCTTTGAGAAGAAAACAAGAAATAAAGATATCCGCAAGAGAACACGTCCTTCATTTTCGAACCATGATATAGCAGGAATCTTTTGATTCGACGTGGATTTAAACAGTAAGGATATTGATTGAAACCAAGGATGGCATATAAAACGTCACAGACGTGGTATAAAATAAACATACGATTTAATGAATATTCATGAGAATATAGGACAAATCCGACAAACAATGCCTTTTCGTATCCCATGAAACAACCTCAACTTCTTACCAATTTCGTGTCACATGTGACATTATCGATTCGGCATCAGAATAAGATTGCAACATTACAGTGGCTGGAATTGAAATTAAATGCAACTACATATGTAATTAAAAATCATTATTATTAAACACATAATAAATCCTTAATCGTGACAATGATTATTTATTATAATATGATATTTAATTGTACTAGCAGACTGCAGATTTTTATGCAAATTTATGTTTTTTTTTTTTTTTTAAATAATGAAAAAGTGGAATCTAGACAGAGGTTTGCTTCTTCTATTAAATAAGCATTATAAAAAGCATCTTTGCACATTGTTGTGCATTTTTGAATTTTTAAATTTCCAATGAGTACATAAAAATTTGCAGTTTAATGATTAATTAGATCTCGCGCGAAGACTCATTCTATCCACCCTATGATTTCATTCACTCTATCCCTCACCCATTCTATGATATGATCTCATTCACCCTGCTTTTTACAAAATTTTATTTATTTAATACAACAACTTATCACGGTAGCAAAACATTAATCACTATGCAAAAAACAACAAAAAGAGCTTTCCCTTAATTATATGAATTATATTCTAAACTAATGCGAAAAATTAACTAATTAAACTAATTAAATAAGATCTAGATAAAAGCTTAAAGTCTACCTATTTTATTCGATACGCTGTTCTATATTTTTATCAATATTTTTACACCTTCTTTTGAATGAAAATGTAAAATAATTGATAATTGATAAGTGGATAGTAGATAAAATAATGTAGTTCTCTGTGGGACATATTTAATAAGGAATTACATTGTTTTATCTACTTATTTATTTTACGATAGATTAATTACTTAGATACGACCCTTAATTAAATAATTCTTAATTACTACCATACGCTATTTAAACAATATTAACATTAATAGGAAATTTGTATTCTATTAATATTAATCAGTGTTTTTCCATTAAATATCTATTTAATTTTGACGAGAAAGGTCTACCTAATCCTAAATAATCCTAACTTCAGTTAAAAGAAGCCTACCTAATTATAAATGTAACTTAATTTAAGAATATCCTACCTAGCCACAAATTTATCTTCTAACTAATTATGAATCTAATTAATCCTATCAAAAATACAAAGACTTTCATGAGGCTGCCTATGTGAATAGTTAAATGCAATTAAGGAGAAGAGAGGGATATTTCACAGAATGAATATAACTTTCAAAACCGCAAATGCCTCGAATATATAACTTGCTAATATCTTGTATCGCTCTTCAATAGTTCTATAGAAGTTATAAACTGAAACTCAAAATTAATTAATTGAATTCCAACATTTCTCATAAAGCTTACCTCTATATTAATTTAGTTCTATCTACGTAGTATCTACATAATAATTAAGTCCAACCTCTATCAAAAATTTCAACGTTCCTTTTATCTATCTATCCAAAAATCTAAATACCAAAATTCTCGCAGTAGATTGTGAAATAAATTTAAACGATAAAAAAAAAATTGGAAAATTTTACGAAATACAATTACTTCACTTTTACCAGGTGACAAAACATAAAGGCTATTACAACTTTTATTGAGTTAAAAATATTTATCGGTATCAAATAGATTCCATTTACTAGCAATATTTTCAGTAACAAACACTCTGACAATAAAGGGCGTTGAAAAGGAAATCAATTCAATAGCCAGGAGGGCCATCCAATCGATATAAACCCGAACAACAAACCGTGAGTGGAATATCCTTCCTATTTCGCAACACTAAATTATGAGGAATTCTCGTGAAGAAGAAAAAAATCTTCAAATAAATCGCGAAGGGTGTTTCATTAATTTAAAGCAATTAATTTACTATTGATAAAAATTAATAAAAAATTGGTAAGAAATAAAAGGAGAAAATTCTCGAAAAAATAAGCGAGATATATGCATATTAGTTTATATTAGTTTATGCACTGATATTCAACATACGTGATATGATTGTAATATGACATAGTGCAACTATATAGATTGATGCACGACCACCTCTGTACAGCTTTTCTAGCTGCTTCAGGTGATTCATGAACGTGGACCCAAATTCAATGGAACTATTGTGGGCATTGTTACAATCGCAACACTAACAAACAAATGCGATCATTCATTAACGCTAATTGGAACGCTAACTGAAAAGTAATTGGATGAGTGAATATCGCAATACTAATCCTCAAAAAGTGACAATCTTTACAAAAATAAAAAGCCATTTTCAATGTTCGCGATAGCAATAAGTCGCAACACTACAAAGTTAATTCCAACTGAATTTCAAATATAAGAAAACATTAAAAAATATTAGAAATTATTCAAGAAATTACATGATTTATAATTTTAAAATAAAAAATTTTAAAATAAAAAATTTTCAACAATCGCGATATCTTATAATCCGCAACGCTAAAACAGATGAACATCAGAAAAGATGATGAACATCAGTTAACTACTAAAAATTACAATTATTACTAAAAATATTAAAGGCGAGCATAGTAACAAGAATGATTTGCCATGCTTTAAATGGATTTCCCATCCAAAGGATAACAAGCCATTGATAGTTGCCCTCTTCAATGGCAATTT